TTTATCAATCTAGAGGATATTCAGAGTTTTCAAAATGGTGAACCTTAACTTTAATTTCATTGATTTTTGGTTGACCTGTAGAAGTTACAATGATGATACTTCGTATCCAAGTATTCAAAGTGTTTCTCCATCGAATGATTCCTTATCAGATTTTGATACAGGGTGAATCGAAAAATCAAAAACGTCCAAATTTGCCATTGAATAACTAATACCCTATATGAAATTTTGCATTCAAATTTCGTATGAGGGTATTTAAGCTATGCCTGAATCGAATAAGCTAGTGTCACTGTTTCGATAAAAAAATGCCTTATAGTCGTTTTCGGAATTTTGACCCATTCAGCAATCGAAAGTAGGCCTTGGAAATATGAACATTTCAGATTTGTCCATATTTTCGAATAGAGCTATATATGAACTTTTTGTTTTTGAAAATCGGTATAGACGGGTTCCAAATCAGGAGGGTGTTGCGTGTTGAAATCGCACACACCGTATATATATATAAATGATTTTTGCTATTCACATAACTAATATGACATTCAGCGTACGGATATGTACCACAGGAGGTAACGCCGAATCTCGATTCAGTGAGTAGATAAAAAAAATTGTAGCGAACAAACATGAATGCAAGAAAGCGACCCAATGAAAACATAATTATGTTAATTGAATAGTACAGATTCAAATAATGCATCATCTACAAGAAGCATGAATGGAAAGAAAAACTGCAAAGCTCACCATTGTAGAGAAAAAATAATCAGACGATATATTGTGGTTAACGGTGAATACCGAGTTTTGTGTTCATATCACTAAGAATGCACATCTAATAATCAATGACAATTCAAGATGCCTGCGTTTGATACCTCTGATTCTTTTTTTATCTCTCTATCTGAAGATATCAGTCGCACCTCTAAATTCACGAAATGACTTCCGCTATTTATCAATTATTGTCCTACATAAAACTCGCGATCTTGCCGATTCGATAATTTATTGATCTATAGATCCATATAATATAGTTCAATCGAATTATCGAGTTGAAATAAAATGAAGGATTCAATTACTAATTGTCGGGCGGACAAAACAAAATATAAAAGCATTAATTCCTGGTGTTTGATAATATATTGGGATGTATTCGAGATTGAGAACTCTTAATTTTCTCAACAAGAGCGTTATGTAAACAGTAAAATAAAAGGACAATGAATAAAAACTGCTCTGATACAACGTGGTGCGGTGTTTCTCAGGTTGAAGTTGGCTTTCGAAGCGTGTATTATGATTATGCTCCCCAACAGATATACTTATTGAAATTAGTTATTCATTATAAAAATAGTATGAGATCGAGCTAGAATCTGATTTTTTCTCGTTTATAATACACTCTCGGTTTTCTGTGACGGGACAAACCACGATTCAATATCGAGAAAGTATTACAATAATTAAAATACATTGAAATCACAAAATGATCAATGTGAGCTGCTGTGCTTATGCATGGCGACAATTAGACCTGCGTTGCTAAGGAAACCTTTTGAAGTAATCTTATATACAGGTTGGGCAAAATAATGCGTCAGAGCTCGTTTGCTCGAGTTTTATGATAGCTAGAAACTTGATTCAAGTGGATGAGACAATACAACAGATTTTCGCCACATATATAGGGCGCACGAAAAAATATCTAGAAGCACAGCGAATTATTTGCTGCTATTATTCCGGACATACTTCCGTGATGTGACAAAGAGTTGAAACAAGAAGCAAATAAAAGGAGATGATGTCGCCTTCGCAAATATACAAACGTGCCGCAATTCGAACTGATCCAAGTTGGTGGCAGAGCGTCAATACTTCACAGAATATTTCGCCCCCTCTGAAGATAATATCCGATGGACCAGTATAAAACTCAACATGTGGATCAGAATACTGTAGTGTGAGCACCACATGAGTTTCACACGGGTCCATCGGATATTGTCTCTCAACGAGGACGAAATATTCACTGAAATATTGACGCTTTGTCACTAACTTCAGTTCCATTTGCTCGTTGTCCCAACTCGTTATCACATGTCGGAAGTATGTCCGGAATGATAAAAGCAAATAAATCGCTGTGCCATGGTTTTGGCTAAGACTGAGGGCTGGCACAGGTATAGGTCTTCGAGATCTCCCATTCAATTTAATTATCAGATGGCATGATTATTATCCCGTTATCAAATCGCGAAATCGAGTGCAAATTTCCGCACAGGAAAGTGCTACTGCTCAATCATTTTGCTAAGGATAGTGATTGGCACAGGTGTCGTTCGATGAACTACAATGTTCTTACAATCCTCTGGGACATATATATATCATTTCGTAATCAGATGACATTAGAAATCTGCAGCCGACTCGCCTACTTGTACCAATGGTTAAGATGTTGAAAGTTTCGAAATATTATTTGCAACCTGTTTTTATATCGATACTGACAAGAATTCAATCGCATAATTATACAGTTTCAGTACTTTTTTCACATGAGTACAATTTCACATTTCAAAATGCAGCACTTGAAATTGAAATGAACATTGGCAATATTGGCATGATATACAAAGAGTGGGTAGGTATAGTGGTCCTTTATCAATTTGCTCGTCGGAAGTTACTTCAAATATTTAGTTCAACTGGCCATTCTACTTGTTATTTCTTTTTTTTCATCTCTCGGAGCACACGAAAGGAAATCAGTATAATGTTGAGAGAACAACAATTAAAATGTTCGTGTCATCTGCATAATAAGTACCTTATTAACATTATGTACCCTTTGAATAAACAGTGTGAGATCATTAGCTCACATCGATTTTCATACACCCTGTATGCCGATCAGACTTATCAGCCCTATGTTTCCCTATTATAAAGATCCAATTTCAAGTTTCCATAAATATGTGCCAATTTCACACCCTGATAGCAGGGATTATTCCTCCCTTATTTTAGGAAATAATGAATAAATACAACCAATTCTCACCCCAGAATTGTAAGGCACCCCATTCGCTATCTCTACAATTATTGTGTTACTTTCGACAGTTTGAAATCACTTCGTGTCACCAAAATAAGCCACTCATTGAAATTGTACAGGATATTATCGTTTTCAACGGTTTTATTGAGGATTCCCAGAAATAGCATCTGATACGATCATATAATACTAAATTACTGCGATAACGTTGGAGTTTCCCAGAATCTCAACTGCACTTGGTATATCATTGATAATTGATTATTTATCATTTTGATTTACAACACTGGAGGTGAGATATAAAATAATTTTATAGAACATTTCAATCGAAAATATATTCATTCATCAGGCTACATATAGGGTGTTGATTAATTATTTGGCAGATTTTTCTAAAGAGATTATTCGTTGAGTAATTTGATTAGAGAGATTTCCTTAAACATACATTCTGTAACAATTTGGTCCACTTCACCCTTTTATTTTCGTATTCCTAGGACGATTCAATAATTTTTTCAACCATAATATTCTACTCAAAGTTATCTACTTTGTCGAGCAAGAAACATTGTCGATCACAATTTCTTAGCCTTCTACGATCAGGAAAACTCCAGCAAAATTGAAGAAAACGGATTAGGCATTTGTTCTCAAAAGTTTTGATAATGGCAATCGATTCGGACTCGCCACAAGTCAGGATTAGATCATCTGGCTACAGAGTGGGAAATTCAGGCAAAGAAATAGAGGACAATTGCGACAAAGAATAATGACAGTCTGCAGAGAGATAGGTATACCACCGCAGAAGAACTGGGGAGAGCTCGGGGGAGAGTTGAAAATAAAGTGTGAAGGAGATGTGACAAGTGTGTACAGAGAGTGATAGATATTTGATCGAGAATACAAAAATCTGAACTTGTTAGGAATGGTTGCTGCTCTTGTTTTTTTTTTGTAATTTTTTATGTTATTTTTTGATTAGTATTACTCAGTCTTTTCTTCTGTTTTTCATTTCTTGATAGAAAATTCGAATTTATAGTGATTTTATTCGTTATTCTTCTCACTCTGTAGACTGACGATCTTATCTTGACTATACCATCATGTCTGGCATTATTCAAATTCAAAATCTCCAAAGAATTATTATACACGGTGACATGAAAGATGCAATTATCCAAAAGTAATAACGTTGATAAAAAAAACACTTCTCATGAGATATTGTCATGAAAATTCATATCAGAGTATTCGTGACTATAGTCTCAATCGATTGCCATCATCAAATTTCATGTAAAAAATTCCTAATCCATTTTAATTGATTTTTTTGTAGTTTTCGTGATCGCAGTAGGCCAAGAAATTGTGTTTGATGATTTCTTTTGCTCGACAAAGTAGATTATTTTGAGTAGTATATTATGAGAAAAAAAAATTGAAATCGACCTTGAAATACGTAAGTACACAGCTGGGGTGGACCCAATTGTAACACATTGTATATAGGTTGACTAATGCATAGTTCACAAGACTAGTAATGAATTATTATTCAAAAATCAGTTTTTTGTTCCTTATTCTGAAAATCCTCTATATGTGTACCCAATTATTTTTTGGTGTAAAATGAAGATAGTATATAGACAAGTGCAGAATATAATCGACTTCCTCAAAAAAATTTGACACCCTGTATTTCTAAAGCAATGCATTCTCAGGCCGAACGACTTATGTTTTTATGAATACTCCGTCTAGAATCACTATAGATAATCCTCAATTACGGGAAATTTCAATAAGCACTCAACACAGAGTTTTCAATCCAATTAATTCCAATGAAATTCAGCAAACTAGCGATCCAATTCAATGGAAGTGATAACGGATAATCGAATTAAAATCAGGAGTTATTCTCGGAATCTGACAATATCAAAAATTTGTTGTTGTCAGGAACAAATCATAGATAGTTCAAAAATCGATGTGTCTTGGTTTTCATATGGATTGTTATCAGAAAAAAAAGGAAAGGAGAGTAAATTATTCTTGGAATTAGTTGTGATGATAAGATAAAGCATGTATACATTTTCTGATCAACACCATAGTGGAATATGTGAATTTCTCAAGTGAAAGTCTCAGCACTTACCTCCCATGCAAACCTGGCATCCTGCGGAACACTGGCCCACTTTCCTTGAAACGGACCATATCTGGTGCACTTAGCAATATTCATCTTCGCAAAAACTCCATTATCCCTCAGCTCAAGTTCATTAGGCAGCGATCCACTTTCCAGGATAACTTCTCTTGCTCTCAGATAAAACAAATCAGTCCTTGAACATTCAGAATCATCGCAAGGTTTATCGAAGAGAGCATCGCAGTTTTTGATAGATATCTTGGGGATAGTCTCTAGCAGCATATTTTCGGTATTGGAATAATAATCTCTCCTGTATTCTTGAGAATGTGTGAACGGTTGAAAATCGGAATCGATATGGGGTGGCACCATTGCTCTTTCCATGGGGTGATCGTCAAGTTCTAAATTTTTGGTTGATGCTTCTATTTCATCCTCAGATCCCTCTGAAAAATAAAAGAATGAAACTGTTACAAAAATCCATATATGTCCTGTTAAAAGATCAGAAAATTCGCGCAAAGAATAATGTTTTATCGGTTTTCGTTCCCTATATCATAATCACCAATATTAGACAATTTTTTGGAGCGCACGAAAGAGATTCTTTATTATGAACGAGCAACATCGTGCGCCCCTAGAGAGGATAGAAAGGAGTGGTAAACGTATGTTGGATTTTTTTTTTCTATTCCCAAAAGATTATAAGTCCTTCTTTTGGCAAGCAATTCCAAATATTTGCCAATATATAGATGAGAAAGTTGTTTAATAATATATCTCGAACGAGGTTGACGACGACAGGATGTGCTGACTGATGTGTTTGTCTGATTGGTATTGCTATAGTGATGGAATGATGACTTTTCTATATACGGTGTTCCAATGATATCAAGGAATTAGTGAGTGTAGTATCACCAACCAGGTGAATGACTTGTCACTCATTGTTTAGATCTCATAATTTTGGGTAACTCTATTGTAATCTTTGAGTTCCCCTGGAAATGATTTTGAGAGAACAATTAATAGATCTTCAACGGTTGATTAGGGGTGAAAAAATGACGATATGTACGAGTTGATCTGTATTTGAAAAACATAAATTACAACTGTTCAAAGGAATGGAGAGTACCAGCAAGATCAGATCGTTGACAAAGCATTATCGTCAGAGAATTACGCTTGTGGTGATATTTGTTTTTGTCCAGGTCAGTCATTTCAAAATTGGATAACGTATATTCAGAATGGGTCGTGATTTGGCTTATTAGGATGATATAACTTCTGTAACTTGAAATACGATCAAAATCAGATGTTTGATTTTGTTCGAATTTCTCTCTGATAATATAGGTTCAAAATTGATTATCGTTGTGAACATAACCTAATCTAAACATACCACAGCACAGAAAAGATCTTCCGTTTTTCTTGACATAACCACAAGAATGAAAATGTTGAATTTTGGCAAATACGAATTTCCATATGTAAGAGATAATTTTCGGAAACATTGATGATAATGAATAGGTAACAATAAAAATTAAAATCGATGTGTTTGATAAAATTATCGCATGAAGGAATTCTTCATTGTTAAATGTTTCCTTTATTTATGATCAGATAGTCCATATAAGTATCTACCTATTTAGATTTGATGGTCATCAACGATCCATTATGATAATACTCACCAGGAGGATCATTTGAATGGAAGATTATGAAATAAACGTTCATTTTGTGTAATTCTAGCGATTTCCTCCTGTTCTAGGAAGAATTATAAACAACTTCATCTGTTATGTTATATCGTTTATCAATAATTTTCCTTAGAAAACGAAAAATATTCTAGAACACAGGTATAGTAAAGTCACAGACAATATTATAAAAACATGGTGATTGATCATTTATGATTTTTTTCCACAAACGTCAAAAAATGACAAGGTTCGCTCATTGATAACAAATAGCGTAGTGACACTTTTTTCCAGTTTCCTACGTTACCATGATACTTTGCACAAAACAATGCGCGAAGAAAAACAGTGCACGAAGTACCTACTTCGCGCATTGTTATGTAAAATATATGAGATATTTATATTTCAACTTCATGGTCCTCAATCGAGTACATCCACGAAATCATCTATTTCTGAATGTTCAACTCTGTTTTATCTCTTGGAGCGCATGAAAAGGAATTCCTATTATGTTCGTGAAACATCGTTCGTACCTAGGAGGATAAGCCAGTTCAACACTATTTTTTATATCAAGCTAATCATATTTTTACTTTAGAACTATCTTTTTCGACGTTTGTAGAAAATATGTTGTTTGCAACTCGAGCGCGAAATGCTTTGGTCTCGGCTTTGGTCATCTCGACTATTCAGATCTCGATCACCAAAGTAGCATCTTGCGCTCTAGATACAAAATACTTATGTCATTTTTTCTACAAACGTCGAAAAATATAGTTCTAAAGTAAAAATATGCTCAGCTTGATATGAAAAATAGTGTTGAACTGGCTTAAAAGGCCTCCCCACATCCTCCTTATAGGTACGCACTATATGTTCCACGAACATAATAGGAATTTCCTTTCGTGCGCTTCAAGAGATAAAACAAAGTTATTGTTGAACATTCAGATAAAAAAGATTCGGTCGATGTTTGCTCGATTGAGGACCATAAAGTTGAAATATAAATATCTCATATATTTCACATAACAATGCGCGAAGTAGGTTTACTTCGCGCATTGTTTTGTGCAAGTTATCATGGTAACGTCAATGCGCGAACCTCGTCATTTTCCGACGTTTGTAGAAGAATAACTATTATGTTCAAATTCGTTTAATCATTCAAAGGTATCGAACCAATAACATTTACTGCTTGAAAAATGACCTTCCATATTGCAGTTCGCCGCTGTGTTTACAAAGGACCGGTCATCCAATCCTATAGACACCGCTTTTCGCATGTTTCGGTCGTTTCAGAGGATTCGAGATTTGTAAAACAGAGTTATCTCGTATTCTGCTGGAGGTAGATAATGAAAACAACTTCTATTTATTCTACTTCCCACATTTATGACTAAATGACCAATTGGTCGTATCGAAGAAGATATTATTTCAACCCAAATATTTACTCATCACCATCTCGGCAATTGATCCATCAGATTTCCATAGGTGCGTTTCGAGTTCGAAAATAGGAAATAAAACATTCATGTAATGCCCATTTTTCCTGTAGACAAGTCATTATACTTGGAGACCTCATTCAATGACCCCGATACTCCCAAGTAAGTATCCTTCAAAAGCAACTAGTTTATACTCATGAATTGACCGACAGAGAGACAGACGTATCTGAAAACATTGTCACTTATAGAATTTTGGTCTTCTGTCCTCACCAAAAGCAAACGTTTGGGTTTGGCTATCAACATCTGATCGATAATTCACTAAAATACTAGGCAAACTCCATAGTCTGATATTATGTTCCAAAACATTTTTAATCAAAAATATTCTCTTTTATTACCTATATGGTTTTTTGTTCTCTATGAATAATTTCATTCATCACCACAACATAAGGAAGATCACTATACGTTCATTCTAAAGAAAGACTCTGTCACCCTGATTTATGAGTAATCAAAATATTAACTTTATAGGAATTCTCACTTACATGAAACAATAAAAAATTCGCCAAAAAGTATTGTCATGCATGTGTTTTTGATATTTCGAATATTATAAATACTCAACTGAGAATTTATATCATTGCATCGTCACTCATTAGGTATATGAACTAATTTCTAGGCAGGATTTTTTGTCATCAACGAAAAATATCACTATCTGAACACCACCATTTAACACCATATCACCATTCGAATAATCTTCATTAATTTTGAAGAAAGTGACAGATTAGTTATAAGTGAACAAAAAAACGAAGGAAGGCTATTTATTTTTATGTAAACATACCCGATATCCATATAAGATTCAAGCATGATGTCACCTCAATTCCTTTTTTTTGTTTCCGATGACGAATATTACACGACATCCTATTCATATTTTGCGGGATATTTTGTGGAAGCATTTCAACAACTTCAACCTGTAGGTACCTTCATATATTCCAGTTTGTACTAAATTTGTTTATTATTTTTAAGTGTCAAGTTAAACGCTTTTAGCTCAAACTTCATGGTCGCTAAATCATTTTCAATGATATTTAGACGTGCAACATGAGAATTTCGAAGTCATAATATCTAAATATACCTTTCTCACTTCATATTGCCAACCCATGTAATTTCTTGGAACCCTATCTCGTATTTGCAAATAAAGTATTCGAAAACTGCGTTATAACGCTGTCCACAAATCCAAGTGTTGATACTTGACAAAATTGAAAAAGATCTTCTTCCTTATCCTGTATACGAGACGCAAAATATACGAAATATGATATGGGTATACTGAATCGTAACAATGACGCGAGAATTCTAAGGTTACTCTTTAGGTCAGTGGACGTGCCGTTTGTTATTTCTAACAAAAATATTATTGTCTCCCGTACATCTATCCAAGACCTAGTTGTGATCGGTTGGGAGCTTCAAATATATTTTTGAGGATCACGCAAATCCTCGAATTCAGCATTGTAATGGTGATGTTTAAAAAATTATGCAAGAAGTGATGAGAAAGCTTTGGATTTTCTCGAAATAAAATTTTATGGAAATACTACAATACGAGAAAAGTTGTTGTTGGTTTCTACCAATGGTGAACAACGGCTATTCTAGCTAAACCAATACCCTCCAAATGGAAACAGTTGACCAATTTCCCATAACAAAAATTTCATAATAGTATTCAGAGAGCTGTTATCTAATCAGGAATATTTAGATTCTCAGGGCTTACTTATCATTGTTGAACTAGACAAAATCTCAAAAACGACTGATAGGCAAATCTTTTCCGAAAAAGTGGAAAGCCTATTCGATTCAGACATAGCTTAAATACGCCCCTTCTATGTACATGGAGATCGATTCTTGGTCAACCAGAAACTAATGATATTGAAAATTTGTTCATAATGATCCATACCTGTCCTGAAAATATACACAATAGCAACTCATTGTTGTCTGTTACTGAAAAAAAGTTAGGACATATTAGGAGAGAATGCTCCATTCTGGTAGGAGTTTCAACCGGCCACTATAGACAAAGGAGTCAATGAGTCGACTATGCGAGGAAGATGACGAGACCATCGTCCACAAATTTTCTACAAGACCTCATCCCACATCATCTGCGAATTTCCCGCAGTGGTTCGCCAGAAAATGTAATGCCAATAGGCTTGTCAGGAGTAACAAGCTTTTCAGGAGTAAGCATACCTTTGAAGACATCCATTTCGATGCTTGGTATCACTATCAGCAATAACCTTTCTTGGGAAAATCACGTGAGATCAATTGCTAAAAGTGCATCCTAAAAACATGATTTTCTGTTTCGGGCCAGGAGCTATTCCACTTCCAGTCAGCTGCTTATGATCTATACGGCACAGATTCGACCTGTCTTGGAATACTGTTCCCATATTTGGAGTGCAGCACCCAAACATACCCTGTCGTCTCGTGGGTGATGCTCACAAACTCACTCACTTTTCTGGAACACCGTGGAAAATTTGGCGATCTGGCTCTATATTGACGATGTTCTTCTGGATTATCAACAATTGTTTCTTCCTTGGCAGTCCCTGCGAGATCAACCCGTGCATTTGGGGCTTTGCAACCCCCGTCGCAGATGTGCAGAACATCTCTTTCCTAAGACTCTTCCAACGAACAGCGAAGCTTTGGAACACATTGCCAAAAGAGGTGTTTCCCAAGGTATATAACCTCCAGAAATTCAAGAAGAACACCAATTCCTACCTCATTTCCCTTGGTTCTCACGATGTTTTCTGAACATTACAGGATATCCCTTTTCGTGGGAACCAGAGCATCATAAAAAAAAGGTTCTACATATATGAGGAGCCTGAGCAGCTAATGAACATCCACTTGGGCAACATACTGACTTTCTGGGACGAAATATAGTTGTTCAGGGAATGATTACGGACCTCGTTACGGACACATGAAATGAGGCTCATCCTAACCTCATCCTTGGGCTTAAGAGGCTCTAGAGCTGGAACGAAGCGAGCTTTGGTGCTGGACTAGTGAGAGCTTAAGCATTGGGAGGAGCTTGGGCTCTGAAATGAACCCTGGGCTCAGACGACAGGCACCGGGCTAGCAAAGACGTTAGCAGGGGGCTCTTACAGGATTCTGAAACCCAGGAGGGAAACACAGGGAAGCTTCATGAATGAAGGAAAATTGCTGTTGCTTCCTTCCTCGCGAGACCAGATTGTTAGAGGTGTTGAACGAAATAACAGGGGTAACACAATGTTTCGATCAAAGCTATCTAAGTAGATAAGAGGCTGTAGAGAGCTCACTTTTTGATTCCGAAATCCAAAAATACAAGAATACAACTTATTCGAAGCAATATTTTCGACATTGGAACAATTTCTCTCAAAGTCATCACGAATGTTCATTCCATTTCGCCAGAATCAGTATATTATTATATATATGATTACATCTAGAATCTATATCCTCACGTTCATTGGAGAGTGTTTATCTGTTATTATTATTTCTTTCAATTCATCAGCTATAGGGCATACTTTGCCATGGGTATAGACAGATTGAATAGGTATTCAATCGTCTCTCAAATGCTCTAGGCGGCTGATCCTATTTGTGTTATATTATTTGACAGCGCTTTGTGAATCGAGAGCATTTTCAAAGTATA